TGGCCATTCTGAACAATTAGTTCTGTTACTCAAGAGTCATAAGAGTAGTTTATCAGAATCATAAATGCATGTTCCAGTGAAAGGATCTGGACTCTGAATAGTTACACAGTCCTGTCAGGCGACCAATCAGAATCCGAGGAGTCAAGCACACCCTCTGTGCTGCGCTCTGATTGGTCGGATACGAGATAGCGTTTGATGTTGTCACGGCCGAGCGATAGTGAAGCTCTGTGTCATGTTTTACGTCAGCTGTTACTCAATCGGACTTTGATAGTTCAGTGATTCGGGCCAAAACCTTTTACCTACATATTCTGAAATATTTAACTTTGCTCTCGTTTTAATCGAACGCATCAATCTGTTCATTAAAACCATAAATGTATGATATCATCTGTTAATATTGACACACTATTCTGATAAACTAGATGGTTATTGTATATATTGTTGGCTCTTCTGTTTTAGGTGCATGGATCTCATGGAAACAACATGTGTATCATGAGTGGTCTCACCCAGATGATCAAGGAAGGAGGGATGCGTTCGTTATGGAGGGGCAACGGCATCAACGTCATCAAAATCGCACCCGAGTCGGCCCTCAAATTCATGGCTTATGAGCAGGTAATAGACCAGAGCTGATGCGATTTTCTGATCTGAGAAGCATAATGAAGAAATATTGCTGCTTTTTCAACGCAATTCCAAAATTAAAGCTTTATAGTTAATGTTTGAAAACAAATAAACGGGTGTATTATAATCAACTAAAACTATAAAAAAAGATTCATTACTTGAAATTAAATGAACAACTGAAATAAAATATATATATTTTTTAAACTTATTTTTATAGATGCTTATTGGCTAGCTGCCAAAGCATAATTTCTTTTTTATTTTTATTTTTATTTTTTTTTTATTGAAGTACTAAGATAATTCAAATTAAATCAACTAAAAACTAAAACTTGATAAAAATATTACTACAATGATTGCTAAAAAAATTACTGCAATTTTAATTAAAACTAAAATGAAAACCAAAATAAAATCTAATTAAAAAATCTAAAAATGTAATTCAAAATATTAACAAACTATAAAAGTATATCAATAATGCTAAAATATAGTGTCATAAATATTAGTAATTTACTGTTCTGTAAATGATTATTATTATACTATTTAATATCGCTATAATAGTTTTATTGTGATTGTAATATATTTATTTATTTGTTTTTTATAGATTATTATTATTGTATAGTCGTACTGAATGGGGGAATGTTGGTTCTTCGCTGATCACATGCTTGCTTTGTGTGTAAATGCCACTCAAAACCTGCTGCATTAAATGAATCACTTTTCTTCCTCAACAGATTAAACGGCTGATGGGAAGCAGTCAGGAAACTCTGGGGATCACGGAGCGTTTTGTAGCAGGTTCCCTGGCAGGAGTCATTGCCCAGAGCACCATCTACCCCATGGAGGTGAGTTTTACACCATCTTATTTAGTTGCTATTTTAATTTGTACTTCAGACATGGTTTTTACCATGTAAGATACAATGTAACAAACCTCTGTAATGCTCTTCTGTCCAGGTTCTCAAAACCCGTCTGGCGCTGAGAAAGACGAGCCAGTACAAGGGCATCTCCGACTGCGCCAAACAGATCCTGAAGGGTGAGGGGATGACTGCGTTCTACAAAGGCTACGTCCCCAACATGCTGGGCATCATCCCGTACGCTGGCATCGACCTGGCCGTCTATGAGGTGAGCAGAGGTACACAAACTAAAGCAATCACTGCTGCTGTCACTCATGAATGGAAAAAGCTCATTTTATTTCCTCTTTTGCTCTTGATAGACATTAAAGAACACTTGGCTTCAGCGCTACGGCACGGATGACGCATATCCGGGCGTGTTTGTGCTGCTAGCCTGTGGTACGGTTTCCAGTACGTGCGGCCAACTCGCAAGCTACCCGCTAGCTCTCGTACGAACACGCATGCAGGCGCAAGGTGAGCTTTATGGTTTATAATAGGTGTAAATAATATATATAACCTCTTTTAATAATTATATATTTAATACATTTTATTTAATATTTTATTTTTTAAATATATTTTATATAATATACATGTTATTTATATTATTTAATATAACATATTGATACATTTAATGTATGTTTATATATTTAATATACATTTGTGACCCTGGACTACAAAACCAGTCATAAGGGTCCATTTCTGTATTTTTGGCTATTGCTACAAATATCCCCCAGCGACTTAAGACTGCTTTTGTGCTCCAGGGTCACATTTTATTTAATATATATTATATATTAATTAATACATATAATTTCTTATTTAATACATATATTTATATATTTAATGCATTTAATTTAATGTTTTAATATACATTTTATTTATATTATTTAACAGATATTAATACATTTATTTAATATGTATATTTTTATATAATTTAATATACATTTTATTTATATAAAATAAATTTTTACTTTTACATTTAATATACTTTTTTCTATATAATACATTTTATGTATTTAAGAATTTCTAATTTTGAATGTGTTTTTTTTTATTTATTGGTTCAATATTAATTTTAATATATATTTCCAGTGCTAGAAAGACTTTTTCTTTTTTTTCAATTTAATGCATGATATTTCCAAAGTCGATGAGTAATCATGAAAAATAATCATGTTCTCAATATTGACCAAAATAATTATTTTACTAGACTTTTACTATAATCGAGCAGCCCTAGTTTATAATGCATTGTAATGCATTAATTTACTGAATATTGTTCTGTTTGTATTTCTGCAGCTGCGGTTGAAGGCGCGTCCCAGGTCTCAATGACAGGACTCTTCAAGCAGATCATGAAGACCGAGGGCCCCACGGGTCTCTATCGGGGTCTGACCCCAAACTTCCTGAAGGTCATCCCGGCCGTCAGCATCAGCTACGTCGTGTACGAGCACATCAAGACGACGTTAGGCGTGCAGTCAAGATGAGGCCTTGATGAACGGACATCTGGAGGTTTTTTAACCTTGAGGTGTGGAGGCCATCTCATTCTGTGAATGTGAGCGAGGACGATGACGGTCAACGAACATCTCATTATTTATTTAGTATTCTAAAATGGTAAAAAAATAAGTTTGAGAGCTGAAATCAGGGACCAACGTTTTTCGATTTCATGTGACCATTGTGTGCGTGTATTTGGTCATATACATGTAAAGTGCCACTGCGAGAAGGAATCAAGTGCTGTTATGATCCAGTCGGGCAGTGCAATTCAATCAACACTACAAACCACTGTGAAATGCATTATTTCATGCTGATTGAAGTTGCACTGCTTGTTTTCTTACTAATGCTGCTTTATATTGACTAAAGTAATATATTTATACATCTGTAAAACCAGATACTTATTTATGTTTTGGCATCCGAGAGTTTAATGAATGTGTTGCACAGTTGTTTGTGTGTTTTTCAGTAGTTCAGCTGCTGTCTAATTTAATCTTAATTGTGGTTATTTTAAATCGGCACACTGATGTTCTTAGCTTTGCCTTAATATAATGTCTGGTTGATTTGAAAAGGAATGCACTTTAATTGCTTTAGTCAGTTGTGAATGTAATGCAATGCAATGACTGTAAATGTTGTCCGAGGGTGTGAGTGTTTTGTAATGGGGACCATTTGTTCGAGTAATAAATTCACATGATATGCTTACTTGCAGTATTGGGGGTTGAGTACACTCATTTCAACATATAAATGCACAGGTGTGTGTTTGAGACTGTTCTGATGTGGTTTGTGAAGAGCCTCGATCCGGAGCAGATGTTCTTGGGAATTAATGATTCAAGAATGGCAGAGATTTTCATTGCAACAGCATTTATGTTTCAGAGTGGCTCTTATTTTAGTTTGGTTTTAGAATTTTTTTTTTTTTTTTTTATATAAAGAAATCCTTAAATGTAATTTATTTTTTCAATAAAAACGTAATATTCATAGTATGTTGTTTTGGTGTTTTTGATTTTTAGAACATATATATATATATACTAAAAGCATTTTTACTAAAAAACATTCCAATTGTTTAATATTTTAAATTTATTATCTAAAACAATATTTTTCATTGCAACAGCATTTATGTTTCAGAGTGGCTCTTATTTTAGTTTGGTTTTAGAATTTTTTTTTTTTTTTTTTATATAAAGAAATCCTTAAATGTAATTTATTTTTTCAATAAAAACGTAATATTCATAGTATGTTGTTTTGGTGTTTTTGAT